TAGTAGCTATCTGTTAGTTTATAAATTTTTGCTGTTTTGATGTATTTACGTCTATTTCAGATTGTTTCGAATTAATTCGAAATATTGCGCAATATAACGCAATATTATGCTATAAGTTTCGTAATATTGCGTAATATATTTCGTAATATTACGTTATATATTGCGCAATATTTCGCAATTTATTGCGCAATATTATGTCCAGACCGTAATTATTGCACTATTTTTCAGAGCGTAATAACTTACGTAGGATTACATTAATATATTTTGCTGATGTAAGTTTATGAAATTACAAAAATATTAATCAAATGATTTATCATTTATAGCATATATTTTTAATAAGCCTAAGAAAAAAAAAATGTATAAAAAGTTTTGAATTATTTCGTAGTATTGAAAATGCTTTGCAAGTTTGCATCCTGCTATTGATTTATTTAAAAAAAAATTATTAATCAATTTAAATCTTTATAAAATTTTGTAAGTTCATGAAGTTACAAAAATATAAATCAAGTGATCATTGTTTATAGCTATATTTTTGAATAAACCTAAGAAAAAAAAGTGCAAAAAGTTTTGAATTATTTCATAGTATTGAAAAATGCTTTGCAAGTTTGCATCTTGCTATTGATTTATTTAAAAAAATTATTAATCAATTTAAATCTTTGTAAAATTTTGTAAGTTCACGAAGTTAAAAAAATATAAATCAAGTAATCATCGTTTATAGCTATCTTTTTGAATGAGCCTAAGAAAAAAAAGTGCAAAAAGTTTTGAATTATTTCATAGTATTGAAAAATGCTTTGCAAGTTTGCATTCTGCTATTGATTTATTTAAAAAAAATTATTAATCTATTTAAATTTTTGTAAAATTTCGTAAGTTCACAAAGTTACAAAAAAATATAAATTAAGTGATTCATTATTATGACTTATAATTTGAATAGTGCATTATAAATATTTTAAACTTCTATAGGTTTTTACGGTACGTAAGAAAATTGTAAACTTACGTAAATTTGTGTAATATTTTTACATAAGTTTACTATTTTCTTATGTACTGTAAAATTTACGAAAGTTTATGCTTATATATTTTTGCTGATGTAATGATACTGATGTAATTAAGGTTTGGCAGATTATATTTAGATTAATTCCAAAGTCTACTAGAGTATCTGATTTTTAACTAATACGTTTACTAATAATTCTGATGTAATTAAGTATTGGTGGATAATAATCAGATTAATTCCAAAGTCCTACTAGTAAACCTGATTTTTAACTAATACATTTTCTAATGATTCTGATGTAATTAAGAATTGGTAGATTATATTCAGATTAATTCCAAAGTCCTATTGGAGTACCCAATTTTTAACTGATATGTTTACTAATAATTCTGATATTTTTAAGAATTGGCAGATAATAATCAGAATAATTTCAAAGTCCTACCGATAAACCTGATTTTTAACTAATAGGTTACCTAATAATACTAATGTAATTAAGATTTGGCGGTTTATATTCAAATTAATTCCAAAGTCCTATTGGAGTACCCGATTTTTAACTGATACATTTCTAATGATTCTGTTGTAATTAAGGTTTGGCAGTTTATATTCAGATTAACTCTAGAGTTAAATCGGGTACCCAATTTTTATCTAATAAGTTCCTAATAATAACCCGTTATACTTAAAAGTTTATTGAGCAATTTTTAGATTATCTTTATAGTTATGTCGGGTACCTGATATTTATCTGATTTAAAAATAAAAAACTGGAAAAATATCGAAACCCGATATGTCTCTGGTTTTTATCTAGGTGTACTATTTCCAATTTGTCTTTATTTGACCTGTGTAAGTTATAGCTACAAGATGTGTTGCCATGCTTAATGTATACTTAGGTTTGCTAAAGAAGCTGCGACAACAACATGTATTTTCATACCTGCAGGTTTTGCTAGAGAAGTCATAGCTGCAACATATGAACTCATTGTTGCTGTATTTAATATCTCATTTGCTAAATTTTCAACTACTAGTATAGATAACATCTCTTTTGCATTATTAATTCCCACTTTAGATAAATTAGATGTACTGTTTTCTGTAATGTAACTTAAGCCTAGAAGTTAAATATAAATAAAATAATTGATTATACATATTTAAGAAATAATTATAAAAGTGAACTCTTTCCGTCTATCACTCATATACAAATTTTCCCAGCTTAATTATTTTAAAAATATCTTATAACTTTATTTTCTATTAAGTTAAACTTAGTTTTGCTACCAAATAAACTTATTCTTAACTAAAAAATACATATAATACTTAAATATTAAACTAAAAACTTTTATAACAATCGAGAAACGGCTATCTGGCTCTTTTTTTACACTTCTCTTAATAACTCTAAAACGGCTATCTAAACACACTCTCCGAACTTAGAGAAACTTAAAGAGCTCATCATTCCCGTCATAACAAGCTAAATTCAAGCTTGTAGACCTGAAACTGACGGAAATACCTCCCAAACTCCCTAGGTTTTCTCTTTTTTTCTTTAAGGTTCCTTTTTACAAAAAACTCTATAGGTGTTTTCTGTGCAATGCTAGCTATTTTTAGACCATACTACCCACGTTTTTAACTACTCAAAATTATTGGTTCTCTACAAATTACACCAATCTTATTCTAATTCTTAATTTAAATTTAATATTTACAAAAAAGGAAATATTTAACTAACACGAATATTATAGTTTGCACCTATTAAATTACAGTTATGCAACACAACTTGTGCCACATTAGCCACACTAGCCACAGTTACACAAGCCGCAGTATCTAGAAGATTCTATAGTGTAATATTACACGAAACAAAATTTGTATCACCATGAAGCTAATTACAAGCTTGTTTCAAATTAACTAATATTTTCGCTCAACAATACCTACTCTTAGTGATACCTTACCCGATATAGTCGATTTAGACACTTTTTTAGTAAATACCCTAATCGCTTCGGCATTTGGGTATATGATAAAAAACCTCTCACTGGCAGACCTATTCCACCTAATCTCAAACCAACTCCATCTACGTAAAAATGAGAAAGCTACACACTTTTTTAAAGCACCAAATACCACTGCCAAAGTTTTCTGTCTCTGCAATAAATATCATACACAATTTATCTCAGCAAACAATACAACTTACAACCTAAACGATAAAAACCTAACCGAAGTAAACTCTAACAATGGCCGCAAAAACATGTCTAAGAAACTTCAACAAACTACCAAATTCGTTCCTCCTTCTCCTTCAAAACAAGTAACCT